ATAAATTTAAACAAGAAAAAAGAAGAAAAATATTATTTTAAATTTAGATTTTTATTTTTTTGGCAAAGAAATTTGTTCTTTCCTTTTTATAACCAAAATCTCTGATTATTAAAACAAAAATGAATGATGAACGAAGTGGTCATTAACGCGCAAACAAACATATAAATATTTTAATAAATAGATGTTACCTCTTACTAACAGCTTAAGCTTTTTGACAAAATAGATAATGTGATATCAATAAAACTCGAGTTAACTATGTCGACTCACACCTATTTAAAAATATTAAGCTTGTCAATCGAAGTTGGCCCGACAAAAATTCCTTTCCCTTTTATTTCATCAAATTGGCTTCAAAACTATTTTTACCTTATAAAATTGGTCCCATTTTTCCCATCCTTAAAGAACATGTCTAGTCTTAGATTTTAATCCACCCTGATGTCGAGTTCTAGGATGTATACATGTCTTTAACATCAATACAGTTGACGATATTCTAAGGGCTTGTGAATAAATCTTGTTTTTAATATCAATCTTCATTTTTATGTTGTTAAGTAGAGAAGTTTAAACTCTTCAACTGTCACCACGTGGCAGTTGGCTGCTATGTACTTCAATAATTCCTGGTCTTCCTCTAGCAAGGTTTATCCCTCAATGATTCACATTATTAAAAGACAAGATGACTCAACCAGTTTGACTCATTTATTATACAAGTTTAATGTGTGATTGAATCTTTAGTTAATTACATACTTAATTATATGTGGTAGTAGTTCAAGCTCCCAAACAACAAGAGACGAATAGAAAGCAAAACATCGCTATATCTTGCTCAAGAAACACAATAAATAGGACCCAAAACATTGTTCCGTTCATTGATCTGAGTATCAACGAAAATTCTACATATAGAAGCAATTAGTTTCATGAACCAAACCATGGTAATTGGTCATGGTTCAATCCGATTTTTGGTTATTTTTATGCATCAAAAAATAAAACATAAAGTATAAATTAACCATAGTGTTAATTTACTCATGTTACTTCCATGCTTTTTCTTTCGAACAATACAAGTGTTGATGATTCTTGAAACGCATCACTTCATATAAATTGAATACAAATTATGTTAATAGTTGATTAAATGAGAGATTTTTCAACTGGAATTTCAAGTGCTAAGAATATTGCAATGAATTCCTAATAAGAGCTCCTAATTAATATCAAGCATCTAGTATTTCAATGACATTCGATATAATATATAACACTAATAAGATTGCTTAGCAAAATTTGGAGTAAATATTTCCTAGTCAATGTGCCAACTGCAAATCGAAGTTGGTTATTCAAGATCTTGGCCAATAATTCTCTTCAAAATTATTATGGTAAATCAATAATGGTTTTCTTGTTTGACAACAATAACTTAAAGATGGAGACTTTTGAACAGTATTTTGAATATAGTTAGTTATAAATTTTAGTCCTGATT